AGAGAGAGGGGAGAGAGAGAGAGAGCGAGAGAGAGAGAGAGAGAGAGAGAGAGGAGAGAGAGAGAGAGAGAGAGGAGAGAGAGAGAGAGAGGAGAGGAGAGGATGAGAGAGAGAGCGGAGAGATGAGACGAGAGAGAGAGAGATGAGCAAAAGCGCATTGGGTAACGGCTTAATAATAATACAACTAAATGCAGCTACACTGTTAGCTGGTCAGCGGAGAGTACCCGTGCGGGGAACACGTGCTGCGCCCCTTGGAAAACCCCACGACTTTAAGCGTCCCAGCCTTCCATGCCGAGAATGCAATTTGGTTTTACTCGTGATGAAAATCGATAGTTACCTGTCGTCACCATGAATTCAAGGTAATTTGATTGATGTATTGCAATTATGCAATAGTAATTGCTGCATAACAAGAATGAAAATGCACATTACAGGTCGGACATGAAGTCATAGCCATCGCCTGGTGGTGACAGTCGTTCATGGCACTGCTAATGTTCGCTTCAGCCTATTCGAGATACCCGCATCGCGAGCGATTAGTGATTACGTCATTATTATCACCGAGCGACCGAAAATACATACACTTTAATCTAATCACACCAACACCAACAAGACTTTCCTGGCCACGCTGAAATGACACTTCAACTTTATAAATTGAGGTTTATATGACATTCATGCCAGCGTTTTGTGTATATACATATATATACATATTTCTGATGCCGATAACCTTGTTTGGACTATATGCGTTCATGATTTGCTGGCAATTCAGCATGCTATTTAGCACTACAAGGTCGCTTAACTGGCACCTCCTGGTATATTAGGTTGATAACCCAACATAAGAACTTTGAGCTCAATGCCGAAAAAACAGTACCGAAGAAAAAGCAATTATGTTACATGAGACAATGCCAGTTAATTTTAGGCTAGTAAGGATAATGAATCACGGCTACGACCTGTGCGGATAAGGTTGAGAGTGCTAAGGCAGGTTTATATTTCAGGTCTGCAAATGCGTCATCTGCTGTCACTCGCGCGCCACCACAGATGCTGGGCAACTCTAAGGGTTTAGTCCGCCCTGATGGCAATCCACGCGTAAGAATCACCCAGACGGGACTCAATCACTTAAAACGCCAATGGGCTCTGGACCAGACCACCTCCCTGCACATTGAGCAAAGGCGCGTTGGGTAACGGTTTAATAATAATACAACTAAATGCGGCTGCACACAATAAAACGGCGTCTCCTTGAATAATTTTCGCCAAAGCTTACAGTTCCTGTAAACCGACGTACATGTGGTTCAGCAGCTAGCAGGTATATGCATTGTACCAAGGATCAACTCCGAAAAATACCAACCAACAGCACGTCACAAGTGCGAGCCAGTGACTGACAGCCCGGTGCCGACCTTCTCGCCGTAGATGTTGATGTTAGTGAAGGGGTTGACGGCGATGAGGATGTCGCCGACGTAGGTGTAGATCTGTCCGGCTCGGTAGCGCTGCTGCAGCTGCTCCACGATCACGTCCTCGGTCAGCCGCTCGAGCGAGGCCAGGTCGTCGACGAAGATGCGCTGCGGCTTGGCCTTGCGGTCCGTCTTGAGGCGGCCCTGTTTGGTGGTGACGTCCGGCTGGCGCGTCGGCCGGCCGCCGCTCTTGCTGACGTCACGGATCAAGTCACGGAGCTGCACCCGCACCTGGGACGGTCACGGCCAGGTCACAACGAAGGTCACGCAGGCGGAGGAGGCGCACACCGATCACCAGCCATCAGCTGACCTGCAGCTGCAGTCCCCCTGGCACGGCGGTGCCAAGCCTCTCGAAGTAAAGGCTGGTTGTCCAGGTCCAGCCTGCACAGGACCCTGTGAAACGTCTCCTCTAGCCGTACATCAGCATGAGGTGACATGAAATGCACCACCGCTTCCTTAAGAAAATCACGTGATTCCCCTCTCAGTTGAGGTGAAGCGGTGCACGCCATGAACAGCACTTACGTAGTCCACATTATTTGGCACCATCTTCAGAAAGGGGTGCTCCAGAAGCGGCCTCATGAACGGCCTCTTCTCGAAGTCTTTGACCAGACAATGGCTGACGAAGTCATTGAACGACGGACTCCAGTCAGCCGGCCGCTTCAGCGTTGGGGGAGGATTTCTCGGAATCTGCCGCCAGAGCGCGGTGCTATGACATTATGCTGAGCGTCAACAACAAATGCGACATGCACCCATAATTGTTGGAGTGGGATAGAAAATAAGAGCAGTTAGCTCATTACGTATGCCATGAAATGATGCCATTTACTGTGCCAATTAAATTCCAAAAAGTGTATTAATCTCAATCTTGGATCAACCCTGTAGCGCACACCCTTTTGCAACTAGATGTTTGGGAGAAAAAAAACACCGTAGTATTGCACACATGAGTCAAAAGAAGAAGAAGGGTGCATATAATAATGCTGCGGTTGCCCTCCAAGCCAGCTGAATCGCTATACTTTTATGGAACTGTTAACAACAAAGCACACCTCAGTAGGCGACAGCCACCGTGACGTCACTTGCCTGGAAGAGCGCCCTCATTGGATGGATATCAGCCAATGGCGGTTCGCCGTCGGCCAGCTCGATGGCCGTGATGCCCAGTGACCAGACGTCACACCTGACGTCATAGCTATAGTCGTACTGCTGCTCGCATGCTATCACCTGGTGACCGAACGGCAGAGATCAGCGGCGGCTGCGCGAAACGCGCAATGTTGGAGGGCGCGTGGGCGTTCGTCGCGGGGCATCTCTAGCTTCTGATGCATGGCCCATGGAGACGATTAAGTTCGTTCCGAGTCACAGTAACAAACAAGAATAATCCCGCGTTTTTTGAGAATCGCATATTATTCGAGGATTGTGATCATTCCGGAGTATACCTGGAATCTCTTAGTGAATGGCATTGCATTTCGTTTGCACAATGCACGAGTACAGGGTCACATCAGACCCCAGCCCTATCTCCACTGGTCTCATCAGACCCCAGCCCTTTCTCCACTGGCCTCATCAGACCCCAGCCATACCTCCACTGGTCTCATCAGACCCTATCCCCATCTCCACTAGTCTCATCAGACCCTATCCCTATCTCCACTGGTCCCATCAGACCCCAGTCCTTTCTCCACTGGTCTCATCAGACCCCTGCCCTATCTCCACTGGTCTCATCAGACCCTATCCCTATCTCCACTGGTCTCATCAGACCCCAGTCCTTTCTCCACCGGTCTCATCAGACCACTGCCCTATCTCCACTGGTCTCATCAGACCCTATCCCTATCTCCACTGGTCCCATCAGACCCCAGTCCTTTCTCCACTGGTTTCATCAGAGCCTATCCCTATCTCCACTGGTCTTATCAGACCCCAGTCCTATCTCCACTGATCTTATCAGCAACGCTTGGCGTCGGCTGTAAGCTGCAGCGTATACAATTTGCATGCTGTGCATTTTTGCCCTTGCAAAGTCAATCGAATGCTACGCAGAGATGACTTTAGAGCAGAGTATCTGTCAAACGCGACTCGTCGCAAAGGCCCGATCGCACTCACCCAACAGACCCATTTCAGTTCCACGTACGATCTGTGCTACTGGCCCTTAGCCAAATGTTAACGAGGAACTTGTAACGTGTCAGGCAAAGCCACGAAGCGGTAACCCCAGCAAGCGTGACCACCTTGTTTTCACCCGACCGACGGAAATTAACAGGCCACACACATATACAGACACGGACACAGATACGGACATGGACACGGACACGGACACGGACACGGACACGGACACGGACACGGACACGGACACGGACACGACACACACACACACACACACACACACACACACACACACACACACACACACACACACACACACACACACACACACAACACACAAGAGTGCTATGTCTGGGGCGCGACCCCGTCCGTCAGCACGGACTGTGTCTGCCACACAGCGGCCACATGTGTGTGGCACCGTACTGAGCCGAGGGACCGGCGGACACGACACGCCACACGCTGCCGGCTGGCAGGGGGAGGGGGGGGGGGGCGGTCCAGGCCCAGGACGCCGTCGCAGCTACGTCACCGCCGCCGCTGGGACGTCACCCACCTCCGGCGCCATCCAGTAGGGCGTGCCGACCGAGGTGTTGCGGCGTCCCAGGGTGGCCGCCAGGTGGGAGGAGACGCCGAAGTCGACCACCTTGATGCGGCCCTCTTTCGTCAGCAGGATGTTGTGACCTTTGACGTCGCGGTGCATGCAGTGGCTCTGATGCAGGTACAGCAGGGCCTGCGTGAGGTTTGTTACTGTAGCAGGCTGATGGGACCCTTTACGTTCGTAACACGCTGGCATTTGTGAGGCGGCACACTGCGAAGGGTGTTTTAAAAGAGCACCGCAATGCACACCGATCTGCTGAGCGCACCGCGGCTGGTAGCTAACGAGCCCAAACTGGGGCGTCACCACACGCCCGCTCCGTGCCATGCGAACAAGAGCGCCGGCGGGGCCGCTGTCGCCGTCGGCCACTCACGTCAATCGTCTCCTTGATGATGTAGGCGATCTGGAGCTCGGTGAGCGTCTGGCCCACCCGGGTCAGCGTCTGGATCAGGTCCGTCACCGAGCCGCCGCTGCAGAGCTGGCCAAAGGAGCGAACGGCGCGTGAGGTGATGCGTACACCCTGCCTTCGCACGTGCCGCGAGCACCCTGCCCATGCACGTGGCGGGTACACACCGCCCACACATGTGCCACGAACATCCTGACTACGCACTCGCCGCGTGGTGCTCCCCATCCCCGTAAGCGCCAGCGGGCGAAAGTGTAAGCACCGTACTGCCGTGCTGGCACATCGCGCTAGAAAGCATGGCGAATGTTGACTCGTGTCCGGTGATCAGGCGTCACGCCACTCCCAGAGTCCTGTCTCTCAGACCCGCGGCGGCGAGAGGGGCTGTGTACCAGCGCCTGCTGCCTGCGGTCCTACAGTGGGGTGTGGGGCGGCGCATGTAGCCGGCGGGATCTGCTGAAAGGCATGTCGGGTTCACCCTCCGTATCTCTCATATTGTGCAGGGCCAGCTAACGGGAGTACCAGCTATGCCACATGACAGGCGGTCCAAAAGAAAGAAGACGACATCTGACAAACGTCGTGAGCGAGCACCACATACGTGATGTAACGCAACTCTGATCGGCGAGGTCGGCTACTGCAGAGCTTCCCCCTCACTAAGTGCCACACAGAGCCAACACCGGCAGAGGTGTCGAGGAATGCTGCCCGTCGAGGATGCTGCCCCGCTGTGCCCAGACCAGCAGAGGTGTCGAGGGATGCTGCCCCGCTGTGCCCACACCAGCAGAGGTGTCGAGGGATGCTGCCCCGCTGTGCCCACACCAGCAGAGGTGTCGAGGGATGCTGCCCCGCTGTGCCCACACCAGCAGAGGTGTCGAGGGGTGCTGCCCCGCTGTGCCCACACCAGCAGAGGTGTCGAGGGGATGCTGCCCGCTGTGCCCACACCAGCAGAGGTGTCGAGGGGTGCTGCCCGCTGTGCCCACACCAGCAGAGGTGTCGAGGGATGCTGCCCCGCTGTGCCCACACCAGCAGAGGTGTCGAGGGATGCTGCCCCGCTGTGCCCACACCAGCCAGAGGTGTCGAGGGATGCTGCCCCGCTGTGCCCACACTAGCAGAGGTGTGTCGAGGGGTGCTTGCCCCGCTGTGCCCACACTAGCAGAGGTGTGGTCGAGGGGTGCTGCCCCGCTGTGCCCAGACCAGCAGAGGTGTCGAGGGTGCTGCCCACGCATGTGGCCCAGACCAGCAGAGGTGTCGAGGGGTGCATGCCCCGCTGTGCCCACACCAGCAGAGGTGTCGAGGGGTGCTGCCCCGCTGTGCCCACACCAGCAGAGGTGCGAGGGATGCTGCCCCGCTGTGCCCAGACCAGAGAGGTGTCGAGGGGTGCTGCCCCGCTGTGCCCACACCAGCAGAGGTGTCGAGGGATGCTGCGCCCGCTGTGCCCACACGTAGCAGAGGTGTCGAGGGATGCTGCCCCGCTGTGCCCAGACCAGCAGAGGTGTCGAGGGGTGCTGCCCGCTGTGCCCAGACCAGCAGAGGTGTCGAGGGGTGCTGCCCGCTGTGCCCACACCAGCAGAGGTGTCGAGGGGTGCTGCCCCGCTGTGGCCCACACCAGCAGAGGTGTCGAGGGATGCTGCCCCGCTGTGCCCACACCAGCAGAGGTGTCGAGGGACGCTGCCCCGCCATTGTGCGCACACCAGCAGAGGTGTCGAGGGGCGCTGTTCCGTCGGGGGGGGGGGGGGGGGCACGTTCCGCCGCACTGTCCGCCGGCGGCGGAACGCTCCCCGAAGCGCAGCGGACGATGAAGAGCGGCGACAGGGTCGACGTCACAGACGCGGCGTCCAAACAAAAACATACCGCCCGCAACGGAGGGAAAGGCAGCAGCGGACAAAAGCGGCACGTCGCGTGACATCTTCCCAGCGTGATTCTTCAAAGGTGAAAAGTGTGCATCATTCACAGACCACAGTTGGATGCGCGGTGCGCCCACGAGAAGCGGCAGCCGCCTTGAGGTGCGTTGCTTTCAAGTTGTGTAACCGCGGAGAAAGCATCGGTATTGCTGTTCTGACACATCATCAGCCCAGAGTGATATACGTTCTGGGTAGCAGGCTGGTGCTTGATGACGCAATGCTTCAGCGAGGGAACATGTCGTGTATTCAGCCCGTCACGGACCAGTGCAGGAGAGTGCAGGGGGTCGGTTCAGCCATCGGAGGAATCACTTTTGACAATGCAGTTCCGGGTGCAGGGCTCCCAGCCCATTCCAGCATCAGGGCCGACTGCGCTACTTATGCAGTCAAAAGTCAGCACAGAAGCGTGGATCTGTGACGCATTTCCGAGCTGGGCTCAATAGCCTATGTGGTGGTTCGTGAAGCCTAGGGCCTTACGCTGTAACGATGCGATACAAACACCCTTTCTTATATTTTGGTTAATTTGATTACAACGTAGGCAAGTGAATTTAGACCATAGCTTCGTTGAAGAATAAAACATAACCGAAGAAAGTCAGGAATGAAATTTAAAAACGCCGAACACACACGAGCTTCCAGCGAAGTCGAGGAAGCCGCCATCTCGGCATGACCACCGTCTCCCGGCGTGTTTGGTGTCGTGCCGAGCGGAGCGGGGAACTGTCGTTGGCCGGGTGTGCGGCAGCTGCGGCCGGGCGGCGGGCGCACCGCAGAGCATCACCTGGCGTCACCTGGCGGCCCTGACCCGGCGCCGGCGCCGGCACCGGCCGGCCGGCTAACGGTCGCCAGCCGCCGCCGCCGCCAGCCGTGAGAACGGCCCGCCGGACCGCCGGACGCACAGATACGCCGGAGAGACCATCTTACGGCGGAGGCTAGCTTACCGCAGAGGCGGGATCACGGCAGAGACTGGATCACGACAGAGACCGGCTCGCCACAAAGAACGGCCGGCGACAGAGGCCGGTTCACTGCAGAGACGGAATCACGGCAGAGACCAGCTCACCGCAGAGACGGGATCACGACAGAGATCGGTTCACGACAGAGACCGGCTCACGGAGGAGATCAGCTCACGGAGGAGACCGGCTCACCGCAGAGACGGGATCACCGCAGAGACGGGATCACGGCAGAGACGGGATCACGGCAGAGACCAGCCTCGCGACAGAGACTGGGTTACGGCAGAGACCTGCTCGCCACAAAGAACGGCCGGCGAAAGAGACCGGCTCACTGCAGAAACGGAATCACGGCGGAGACCAGCTCACCGCAGAGACGGGATCACGACAGAGACCGGCTTATGACAGAGACCGGCTCACGGAGGAGATCAGCTCACGGAGGAGACCGGCTCAACGCAGAGACGGGATCGCGACAGAGACCGCCTCACCGCGGAGAACGGCTCAGGATAGAGACCGGCTCACCGCAGAGACGGGATCACGGCAGAGACGGGACTACGGCAGAGACTGGCTCACTGCAGAGAACGGCTCAGGATAGAGACCGGCTCATCGCAGAGACGGGATCCCGGCAGAGACGGGACCACGGCAGAGGCTGCCTCATGGAAGACATTTGCTCCATGGGAGATCAGATAGATCGCCGGAAGAGCTCACCTTCAATCGTCCACGTTGCCTCAGACGGGAACTCATCCACACAGCAGTCCATATCAGAGCTACGGTAACCGACAAACCAATACAAAGACAAAGACCAAGAACCGATACGGAAGTGTCTGGATGATAATCCGCAAAGATGGTGGCTGTCGTTACGTGACCTCGTCCTGCCAGAGGCGTCCGATGTGCTCCAGCGGCCGGGAAGCCCTCGATCGCCCCGGCGCAATGGGAAAACGAGGCCGCACTGCCTCATCTCGCCTCTCCGCGTCATTACGCCTCACCACTGACAGAACGCGCTGGGATTTGATGCTATCGCGAGATAATGTCATGAGGAAGCAGCAGTTTGGGGACATCGATTTAACGTGACCCAAAAGGCTCGGCAGAACGATGACACTGCACATTTCACTGCTGAGAGCCCAGAGTACCATGTGCGGAACTTTCCGCTCTTGTAAAATGGCATGTGTCCCCCAATGCTTTTTGTGTTTTAACGTAGACTTTGTAGGGGCCCCCGGGAGAATCCGCCTAGAATAGTAATGCTCTCACCGAAATGATCTCTAGGGAGTTCTTTTCCTGGGTATGAATTTTAACTCGCTATCTTGTTTGCTAGGCCTGTACTTTGCGTTCAAAAATGCCGCGTCTCCTCACCATCGTACTAGACAAGTACCTTTCGCGGTGGTGATGAACGTCGGTAGTCTTGATTTATGCTTTGTCATTTACTGCAACCAGCATTAAACGATGACGTTTCAGTGGTAATGACACGATCGTTATCACCGCATCGACAGTGTCCGTCAGTGCTGCCAAATCTGGCCACCCACCATGACGCGGTGGCCGAGCCTCGGACGGCCGGCCGGCTCGCGGGCTTTGACTGGGGCCGATTAGCGGGCGAGATATTTCACTTTCCCGACGGCTCCCTGGCTATCCCGTGACAGCGGTTGGCGTCAGGTGTTCAACATCGTAGCGGCGCAGGCGGCCCGCTCCGCATACTACACTTGTTTGGTGCTCTGGCCCCGCGTGTCATAGCGGGCCCGCCCGCCCTTCTCACCGCACCGGAACTCTCGAGAACCGCAGACAGCCGTTCGAGAGCAGCGGATGCAGCGGTGTTGAGATGTCGATGCTAGCTGGGACCGCGGTGGCATGTGCCGCTCTCGTTCAGTCGTGCGCCTGTTTCGTTACGGAGCGCGAGGCGTGACTTCGTGGCGTTGAACGCCCGGACCGCAGCCGACTTTCTAAGACCGATGTGGGTAAGTAGAGTCGACAGGAAGGGGACATCATTCCATTCCGCGCCTCTAAGCGATTTTACGATACGCGGCCGGATAGGCCGACCGCCCGGCTGCGGGAGAAGCACCGGCCGTTAATTAAATCTTGGTCGGCCGACGGAGATTGGGTATTGTCTCCGATACGCTGTGCGGAGCACTCACTGAGTGGTGCGGAGCGGCCGCATTAACTCAGCCGACCCCGAACAAAGCCTGTTATAGCCGCCGCAGGCTTCCACGGCCTCTCGGCCGAGCAGATGTGCACTCCCCGTCACATGGGGCCTTCCGCGTCACATGGAGCCATCCGGCGGTCGCTACGTCACATGGTGCCATTCCCGCGTCACACGTAGCCGTCCCGCGTCACGTGGAGACGTCCGCACGTCACACGTAGCCGTCCCGCGTCACGTGGAGACGTCCGCACGTCACACGGAGCCGTCCCGCGTCACGTGGAGCCGTCCGGCGATCGCTGCGTCAAATGGCCGGGTCACGTCGAGCCGTCCCATGTCACGTGGATCCGTCCCTGCGTCACGTCGAGCCGTCCCATGTCACGTGGATCCGTCCCTGCGTCACGTGATGCCGTTCTGCGTCGCGTGGAGACGTCCCCGCGACACGTAGAGGCCGTCCCGCGTCACGTGGAGCCGTCCCCGCGTCACGTGGAGCCGTCCCCGCGTCACGTGGAGACCACCAGCCGGTGGCGGCCGCCTCACACAGCACGTGCTGTAACAAGGCAGGTGTCTTTGTCCGCCGCACGGACCTGCCATTGTTTACCGGCCTGTGTGTGTGTCGCGGTGATGGGGTGTTTGTGAAGCGTGTGTTGTAACGGGCCGCCGCCGCCGGCGCCGCCTGCGGGCAGGTACCGTGACTGGCGGCTTGAAGCCGGCCGTAAACAACAGGTAGCCTGATGCCGGCCGTAAACAACAGGCAGCGAGACCTCACCTCCATGACGAACCAGAGCTGGTCGTCCTCCCGCTTGCGGCCGGGCTTGAAGAACATGCCGTAGAACTGGGGGATGTTGGGGTGCAGGCAGAGGTCGCGCAGCACCAGGAACTCCTCCTCAATCTCCTCGATGTTGTCCGTGATGTCCTCCAGGATCTTGACGGCCACATAGTCGCCTAGGGGAAGCGCAGGCGTCGACTCAACGCGGTGCTTTCACCTTTCTCGTGACAGACAGGCGACTTTGAACCGGACAAACGGCGCGTTCCGGTCTGGAGTTCACACTGTGGGATGTCTGCTCCGTTTTACCTACGCATGACAGTGCTTCGTTACGCCAAACGTGGTTGCTCCACATCGGCCATCTAGCTGGCCCGCGTGCCATCCCCGCGCCGGCCTGCTGGCGAGTGGCTGGCGTTTGTCGTAAGGCCGCGCCCACCACGGTCCGCCCTCGCCACACCCTACCACACAGACCCAGCACTGCGCCCGGACGGTGGGCACGCACCGTCCTGCTGGTGTAAGCGCCCTCGCCACACCCTACCCCACAGACCCAGCACTGCGCCCGGACGGCGGGTACGCACCGTTCTGCTGGTGGTCGCGTGCAGCGTGCACCTCTCCGTAAGTGCCCTCGCCGATCAGGGTCTCCAGCACGAAGCGGTCGCCCGGCTCCGGCAGCGCGTCGAAGTCGATGTGTCGGCTAAGGCCGGCGTAGGCCAGGCCCGGGCTCTGGGGGTCAAACACAGCGTCAGGCCCGGACTCTGGGGGTCAAACACAGCGTCAGGCCCGGACTCTGGGGGGTCGAACATAGCGCCACCCCAGGAGCCTGAGATCGGGCCACTCTGGATATTAACAAGACGGTTAAGCTCCGGTGCTTTCTCACGCTTCGCTGTCGAAGACGGTTGGTAAACGACAGATAACATTCCTGATGAGGTCTTAGTCAACATTAAAGCAGCATGCAACTCCAAACATAAGGCATAAACAAATCCTTGCATTTCTGATTCAATGCATATTGTTACTGAAATTGGCGCCCACACACCCAAAGTCTTTCTCTCCACTGCCAACCTCGTCCTTGCTTCATCGCTGAGTGGGATGGCAATAACCAAGAGATGCACTGATGCCGTTTTAGATAAGAAAATGCATACTTGCTGGTCACCCTTTTTGTATAACTGTAATGGCTCAGAAGGCATAGTGAGTAGCTATTGGAAGCGAATAATCGAGGTAAGTTGTGATTATACATCATCTCACATCTCTCTCACCACATCAAGCAACCGCGTTGATATTTTTGCTCCCCTTACTGCGCACGACACCGCGCACCACAATGCTCTTGGCCACTGCAGTTCAATGCCCCAGCAATTGATTTACCGGGTGTCTGAGTATTTTGACTGGTGTCAACAAAGGCTGAAGACCCAAGCAGATGGCAGGGCCACATGTCCATTTCTCCCGTGTAGCTACGGGGCGGAAATGCACAGAAGACGTGCTGTTGCTCAGGCTAAGGGGCGGAGGAAGATGGCGTGTGCCTGAGATGAAGCAGGTCACATTTGAAGGTTTCCCCCCTGCAAATTGTATCAGTCTAATTCTGCCTGGTGTCTGCTGCTGGCTGTGACCTCTCTTACAACTAGAAAGCCATACCGGTGCTCAGTTAAGACGCAATTATGTATATGTGGTACGGATATATGTGAGAGTGGGTGAATGAGTCCGTGCCCATCCGTGAATGCCGTCTGTGCCAGTGAAAAGAGAGAGACCCCTCTCGGCCTGCTTAGATAAGCAAAACAAGAACAAAATAACGTACGACTTTTCGATAACATCAGCAGCCCAATGGCCTGTTGTGCCGCAACAGGATCAAAAGCGCAGGAAGAAAGCACGGCAGCAGTGCCGTGGCGTCATTCACGATTAACTGTCTTCACCGCAGCAGCAGCAGCTTCCGGCAGCGGCGTCTCCAACAGCCTGGTCCGTGTGACCGGGTCCGCGGCGGGCCGGCCACGGGGGAGAAGCGCCACTGACGCCCTGGTCAGGACTGACTGACCAGCGACACCGACTCGGCTCGGGCCCAGCTGACCCCACCGCGCCCGCAGCAGAGCAGACCGGGGACGGTCGGCTGTTACCACTGCGGCGGCCGGGAGCCCGGCGGTGGCGGCCACAGACGGCAGCGGGAGTAACAGGGGGGGGGGGGGGGGGGGGGGGAGTGGGGGGGAGGGGGAAAGAACGCAACCCCGCACACACGGCGTCACCGCCAGCTGGGCAGCGGAGAGTACCCGTGCGGGGAACACGTGCTGCGCCCCTTGGAAAACCCCACGACTTTAAGCGTCCCAGCCTTCCATGCCGAGAATGCAATTTGGCTTTGTTCGTGATGAGAATCGATGGTTATCTGTCGTCAACATGAATTCAAGGTAATTTGATTGATTTATTGTAATCACGCAATAGTAACTGCTGCAAAGCAAGAATAAAAATGCACATTACAGGTCGGACATGAGCTCATAGCCATCGCGTGGTGGTGACAGTCGTTCATGGCGCTGCTAGTGCCGGCTTCAGCCTAATCGAAATACTCGCATCGCGAGCGATTAGTGATTACGTCATTATTATCACTGAGCGACCGAAAATACATACACTTTAACCTAATTACACCAAAAACAACACGACTTCCTTGACCACACTGAAGTGACGCTTTGGTTTTATAAATTGAGGTTTATGTGATATTCATGCCAGCGTTTTGTATATATATATATATATATATATATATATATATATATATATATATATATATAATACACGCATTTCTGATGCCGATAACCTTGTTTGGACCATATGCGTTCATGATTTGCTGGCAATTCAGCATGCTGTTTAACACTACAAGGTCGTTTAACTGGCACCTCCTGGTATATTGGGTCGATAACTCAACGTAAGAACTTTGAACTCAATGCCGAAAAAACAGTACCAAAGAAAAAAGCAATTATGTCACATGAGACAACACAAGTTGATTTTAGGCCAGTAAGGCGAAGGCATCACGACTACGACCTGTGCGGATAAGGTTGAGAGTGCTAAGGCAGGTTTATATTTCAGGTCTGCAAATGCGTCATCTGCTGTCACTCGCGCGCCACCACAGATGCTGGGCAACTCTAAGGGTTTAGTCCGCCCTGATGGCAATCCATGCGTAAGAATCACCCAGACGGGACTCAGTGACTTAAAACGCCGATGGGCTCTGGACCAGATCACCTCCCTGACAGTGATTACTCCTGGCCACTACTGTCGACCATCAGCGTACCTTTCACACACATTTATCGCCCCTTCGTCATTTGTGATCAGCTGTGCAGATTAGAGACGTGTGAGCGTTCCCGCGCCTCGTGCATATTGGAGCACATAAATACGTATTCAGGTAATAACCGCCAGGTTTCACCTTGCGACAAAACAACCACTGTTCGCTCTGATGGACACATTAATCCTACACCCATGCAAAAGGTTTCATGGAAAGCACTCCCGGCTCGTCCGTGCCTGCCAGAGAGCTCTATGCCCGCCGTCTTTTCATCTTCCGTATCACGTCTTGGCGGTGTATGCATCGCGCCGGGCACCAGTCGCCGAAGTGCTGTCTACTGCAGTCGCTCGTGCGCGAGCAATGGAGAGCCCCGCATTGGCTTAATGACTTAATGACGCTCGTGAGTTTTCACGTAAAGTGTCTGACAGAGCATCCCGCAAGGTCTCTCATTTTATTTGAGCACTGCCAAATGGGGTTGAACAAGCTCATCCGGTGCGCGCAAAACTTCAGGTGCACATACCAGTGAGCACTCTCTCCCTGTTCGCCACCCTCTGAAGACCCGTCTGCTGCAGCCGGCCGGAGCTCACGCGTTCCTGAGAGCCCGCACCCGCCGCGTCAGGGAGCTGACGCACGGTTGCTGGTTATGTACGTATTATGCACGGTTGCTGGTATGCACGGTTGGGGCTGGTTAGTTCGGGTCTGGCGGTCGGGTTAGTGTTATACGGCACCCCGGCGTTCCAGTCTCCCATCCGAGGCGTAACATGACGTTGCAATGGCACGGGGGGTGCAGACCGCGTCAAGCCAGGCGTCCTGACTTAGCCGCGTGAAAGAGGATACAGTAATGCAGTGTGCAAATGAACGGCACAATATCTAAGAGCCGTCCTGTCTGTCTTCCTCTTCAATCGCGTGCGATTCGGCAACAGAAGGCAACGCGTATTACACCAGGCCACAAGTCTCGGCACATCGGCATGGGGCAACATCGTTGCCTGCTTTTTACTCGAAGCCTCGTTCAAACTGTCCTCTGGGAGGAGGTGAGGTAGAAACTGACTAACTCAGCCGGCAACAAGCGCCGGTATTTCCAGCCAGTCCGTGAGAGCCGGCTCTCGTCTGCAGAGCACTCGGCACGCCTGGACTTGCCGGCTGATCGAAGGACACCGTCCGTCGTGTTCACACGGCCCCGATGGAATCGTGATGCCAGCATGACAGCCCGGCGCGGACGGGTGGCTGCCGACGGCCGACTTCCGTCGTCCCATCTGCCCGCCAGCTACATCAGCGACGCTCGCGGAGACCCCGCCAGACGTGGGCCGCGCGCCCCGTACGGCAGCTGTTTTTTTCTTATCTTTTTAAAGAGAATGTGACGCACGCTGTCACGCCTGTCGTGGAGCGCCAGCGGCTGCATTGGCCATATCAGCGCTCAGGGGCCAAGGCACAACCGGGACTCGTACGGGCTCCCCGTGTGAGAGTTCGATGCACTAACCACTCGGCCATCACGCCCCCGTCCAGCGGCTGCGGCGGCGCGCATCGCTGCAGTGGCCGGCCCTCAGCCTGGCTCGCCGCCGGGTCTCCCTGGCGCAGCTGGGGGGCGGGTGGGGGGAGCTGCGGCGGCGCGCGCCGCTGCAGTGGCCGGCCCTCAGCCTGGCTCGCCGCCGGGTCTCCCTGGTGCAGCTGGGGGGCGGGTGGGGTGGCGGAGTCTACCTCTACTAAGGTCTACTAAGCCATCTACTACCATTGGTCCGGGCCTGGCCGTCGCCAGACCGCTGCCATCACAGGTAGAGTCGGGTCGGAGTGGACTAAATTGTGGACCCTCCACCGTGAACCCCTACAGTAAAATTGACCGGTGGATGCGATGGATGGATGATGGATGCGATGGATGCGACACGAAGCAGCGAACAACATGAACGTGAGCAGTTCGTCGCCTGACTTGCGCTTGTCCTTGTCAGTGTAGTCACTAGATACATTCGGCTTCAAGGATGTGGATAAAGCTCACGAGGACCGAAGGGGCATTATAGGTGTAAGATAGCTTACGATTGGGAGTTCAATGCATAAGGGATTGAGCGACATCCGACTCCATGCCTTTGCTGCACGGGTCGCGGTGGTACACCACCCCTCCCCCCCCCCTCCGATACTCGCTCTAGCCACCTGGATTTGAGCTAGTTAGTTGTTAATATTTAGCGCTGTTGGTTTTTGCAATTGTCGATCACGAATCCTAGTCGCACAGCTCGCCTCATCGCATGGGAGGAGAATCACAAACAAACTTTGAATAGGTTGAGCTACTATGAGTATTACTCAGCGGACATTGTCAGAAGTCTGTCTTATGAATAGCACTGACGTTGTCTCACATAAACGTAGTGCTAAATCATTTTAGGCTTACTGGGAAATGGTGCTGAACAACCAATTCGCCTCTTCATGAACTGCCATTGCATAGAAGTGCAAACGCTGTGCATCGCTGATAGGTGGTCTGGCCCTGCTGGAGGCCCAT